ATTGTTTAAGTTTGTTCCCTCAGGGCAGCACAAGATGGTGCCAGGCTGCGTTGATACTTTGCCCAGAAGAAATTAAACAAAATTAGTCAGGTCAAGGACATCCACACCCAACAAAGGATACTTAACAACAAATTGACTTATTTTTTACTTTTGCTGTTACATTTGTACAGGTTTCCACACAAAGGTTCTCTTTCTGTCTGGCAGCAACATCAGGCTTCTGTGACCTTATCAGGGGTGTCCATGGGATATGGTCAAAAAAGTCAAGATGGTGGCCACGACAGTGTGATTAAAGTTCTGCCAGTTTTATGTGTGACACACATTTTAAAAAAGAAGTTTGATTGTACTGATATGGCCACCGTCTTTACTTTTTTGACCATCCATGGACACCCATGGATCCCATGATGTTGGCTGTGTTTGGCAGCCTCTTCCTTACTATAAAGCACACTAAAACTGAGATTTTATCTGAAATGTTGCAGCTCTGTGAGATGTTTTTGATCTGTATGAATGCTCACCTCAATACATATTGTAGTTCCTGGGTTTCAGTCATCCAACAGGTCTTTCAAGGGAAAGGTGGCTTGATGGCTTTGCAGCTCGCTCTCATAAGAATCGTGAAGAATGTTTTGAATATCGCCAGAGAAATGCATAGACAGCAGAGATGAGAATGCAGGTGGAAGTAAGTGTGCAAATAATTATTTTATTTATTTTGTGTTTGTAATGAGGAGATTTTTGTTCCTTAAAGACCTGCAGCAGTGACATGCCTCATTCTCAGAGTCTGAGATTGGCAGAATATGAAACAAATGGACATGATTGTGGGCAGTGTTAAATCTGGGGGATGAAGAGCAGAACACACTGACCCTTTGGCTTCCCCACTTGAGCCACATAGACTACAGAAGGGCTGACATAGACGCCACCCAACACCATGCTAATGACTTTTTCTGAAACATTCTGATCTATTCATGAAAAAGAAACCTGAGCTGTAGCTGTGTTTGTAGGTACTGTACCTGGAACTGAAATGACCTAGATTTTCCTAGAGAACAACAACTGGTGAGAGGTTCAGTGTTGATTTTTGGGGTGCTAGTGATGGGAAGGAAAGAGAATGAGGTGTTTGCGTGCACTTTCAAAGTAGCTCTTTCTCTCTGTTTCCAGGACATCAGCAATGTTGGACATCTGGACTGATTGATTTCTGAGCTACAATTGAAACTAGGGCTTTCCAGTGCTTCAGGTTCAATTCCAGGAAGGTGCTCCTTGGTGTGCATGAGTGCAGCACCTATGTGCAGTTGCCATCTACACACTCCAAAGCACCTTTTTTGGAATTGAATCCAACGTGCTGCATGTTCCTACTGGAGGGCCCTCTTGCCTCATCCCTTGTTGCAGCTCCTGAGCGTCAGGTTTTTCAGAATAACTCAGTGGCTTTGCAGCGCCCCCTCAGTGGCCCTGATACAAGGAGTAGTGGTGGACTTGACAACTATTTTACCCCTTTTCAGCAGAGAGCAAACCAGCTGGTGCAAAAGCCAAGATGTTGCCTTGCCTTTTCTTTCTTTCTCTTTCAAAGGGAGTGGGGATGAAGACATTTTTGTTGCTGTACAACCAATCATGGTTTTGAGTGGGAGAGTAATTGTCCAACTTGGCAGAAAGGAAGACCATCATTGATCATCTGCAGGTTACCTCTGAGGGTTTGGAGCATAAAAATGGTGGTGGTGTGGGAGTGTGCCTGATTTTTAGCAGAGTTCACTGCATCATATCTTGTCCAGCAGTCAGAAAAAATAACCCCAGCAAAGATTATGCCAGAAAAGACACTGCATGCCTTGTTTCTTCCTGCCTGTTCTTCAGAGGAAACTTCAGGACAAACAAAATATCAGAAACCATATTTATCTTTCAGAAAGGATTTGTGGAAGTAGAAGAAGATATGTTTGAGTGTCTGGGAGGGGGTTACTTTTCTTCAGGACTGCTATGCACAGAGGGAAAAACTTTTCCCCCAGGCATAATCTTGATGGAAATTCCCCCTTGCTCTGCTAGTTTAGCCACAAACACATTGCAATCCCCACAATTTTGCAACTGAGCAGGAAGCTCTCATAGCCACCCAGGGCAACTTTTTTCTAAGGACGGTATGGATGTAAGTTATATTTTGGTGTGAAGCCGGGAAGTGATGAAGCAAACCTTTTCATGTTGCCTTGTGCTGCAGTTTCAATGAACCCCCCCCCCATCCTGTATTAATTAAAAAAAACAATCGCAACAATAAAGTCAGTTTCTAATGAGGGTTCACTCACACCTAGAGCCATTCCTCACTGTAATCCACAGCGGAATTCAGCCCATGCTGAGGCAATAGAAGTGGTGCGTTTATTGGCCACACTCTCATCCCCGTCCTACACGTTTTGCTGCTGGAAGGTGTTTGGGGTACAGAAAACAGCAGAGCATCCACTGGGGGTGCCGAAAGAGTAAAAATGGCAGCCACAACACGAGAAATAGTAGTACACACAACACAGGTAAAAAAGGAATGGGACTTCAGTTGTGCAGTTGGAGCTGCCATTTTGACTTTTTGACCCCCCTGCAGAAATCCTGGAAAAAGAGCAAAATTAGGAAGCTTCACTTACAATATCAGGATGAGACAAGGCCGGTTTCATGGGAACCAGGGGCTGAAAGGGAGGATCATGCCCATGAATCCTCAGGGAGTGCTCAGCATGAAGAAAGGCAGGCACCAAGTTTAAGGAAGTATTTTCCCCCCCAGAAAAAGAGCTAAAGCTGCATCTCATGGTTGCGCCTTCTTTATTGTGAGTAATGGACTTGCCCCATTCTGCAATTTGTTCCATCTCAGATGACTTATTTACAATATTAAATAATGTAGATGTTATTTACAATAACATTTATGGGTGCCTCTAGGACTGTGCATGTAACACCTCTGCTGCGCGAGTGCGTTGGGTGCCAGTCTGCTTCCAGGTCCAATTCAAAGTGTTGGTTATGACCTTTAAAGGCCTTCATGGCATGGGCCCAGGTTACCTGAGGAACCATCTCGTCCCCATCCGGTCCGGCAGGAAAGGTATGTTATGGACCCCGTCGCCTAGAGAGTTTCAACTGGTGGGGTCCAGGAGGACCTTTTCTGCCGTGGCTGCCACCCTCTGGAATACCCTCCCCCCTGAGGTGAGATTGGCCCCCACTTTGCTGACCTTCTGAAAGGGCATTAACTGCTGGCTCTGCCAACTTACATGGGATCCAATGGGGGTTCGCAGCACTGGGGGTGGCTGGTAGCCTGAGGATGCTCTCTCCGCCTTTTTAGTTTGCACTGTGGTTTTAACTTCTTGGCTTAATTTTAACCTTTTGTAGTTTTTAACACATATTTTTTATGATTTTATAGTTTTTTATCTGTAATTCTGCCTAGAGTCACTTGTATAGTGAGATGGGTGGCATATATACATATGAAGAATAAATAAATAAATACATAAATAAATAAATAAAATTAAGGACATGAAGTCTGAGACATACATGGAAGCACCCACAGGCCAGCACAGACACTTCTTACTCACCCCTCATATTGAAGATGCTGTTTGGCATTTAAAAAAAATGAATGAGAAGGGAAAGAGCCACAAATCTGGACACAGTACATTGTTTGGCAACCAATCAATGAAAACACCGCTGTGATGTTTTCATTTAACATGAAATTCTGCAGGCTGGAATAAAGGAAGCTTCCGTAACCTTATTAAGTCAGTCACTGGAATCTGCTCCAGTATTCAGTCCCCGTGAGTACAGATCACACAAATCTCAAGTGGGCAATGGTGGGAATCACATTCTGTATCTAATGAGCACGTCAGAATACTACAGGTAACCCCGAATAGTGGGATGAGAACAATAGCATGTGGGCTTGCAAGGTAGAGATCCTAGATTAGAGCCCCAGTTTTCACGGAACATCGTAAGCATGCTTTGTGTAAAACTGGGCTTTGGTGGTGCTTGTGGCACACCAGCCAAAATGTGCCAAAATTGACAGGTATGTCCTTACTGTTAGCAGGAAATGCTGGAGGGCCAGAGATGCAACTTTCTCTACCTTACTAAAAAGCACCAGGTGAAAGCTTCAGTTTGCCAAGCCATGATAGGTCAATATCTATGGGCCTATCTGGAGATGACCATGGCATATCGAATATTGTCAGTCAGAACGGAGGAGGAGTAAGTGGAAGAGCATGAATTAAAAAATAACATTAAAAGGAAGAGAAATAGATACATCATGTGTCTGTGAAACTAAAAGAGAGGGAAAGGATGCAATGAACGTGAATGAAGATGGTGAATATAAGCTCCATAAGATCTAGCCAACATGTGCAGGGGAAGGTATAGGTTTCATTATGAATGAAAGGGCTAAAATGCATATTGCAACATATGAACTGGTGTCATCAAGGTTGGTTTGGGTGTGTATGAACCACAGGTTGGTGATAGTTTCATGTTATGCTCCAGTGAACATGATAATGAAAGAATCAGTGACAGGTTTTGGTAAAAATTGTGCAACTTTATGAATAAATGGGATTCAAGGGGAAAAAAAATACTACTAGGTGATATGAAGGGAGTGGCGGAAACAAGATGAGTGTAAAGAAAAAAATTATTGGACCATTTGGAGGCCAAATTAATGAGAATGGTGACTGCTTAGAAAAAAGTCAGCTTGCTTTGAATTCATGGGGTAAGCATACGTTTATTTGCATGCACATATGGAAAAGGAATGAATAGGTGGAGGTGGGAAATATGGAGACTGCAATGGATGTATATAGTTAATTAATCTGTTTAACAATGTATAAACCATTTAGTAATACTAAGCAACATACAAAAGCAATATGATCAAATGGAAAGTACTATTAATTTTATCAACTGTGGCATTATTCATGCTATTTTAAGGGAGTAGACTGTGGCTCCTTGTCCCTTGCAGTTTCACATGGCATGAATTATGCAGATATATAGTAATGCAAATATATGTAGAGCCCTCTTGAAAGGAAGAGGAATTCTCACTGCCAGTCCATCTGCAGGGATCAAAATGCATCTATTCAGAGGCTCTTTAGACATGGGAAAATTAACCCCTCAAATTCTCAGAAGAGCCAGTGGCTCCTGTGCCACATTCTCTTCAAAAGTCTGTGTGAGTCTGTGTTCAAGCACGTGGGGGAGTCCTGAAACTGATGGAAAACACCTGCCTGACACCCACGGCCGCACACTCTCGCTTAGCCTATCCTTTGTGTTCCTGAGCACGTTGCTCTGGTCCAAAGGTCCATTTCCTCTTCTGGCAAAGGATCTCCGGATTGGCAAGCGGAAGAAGGTCCGCCACTAACCATGTTGGCAGGCGGGGCCCCAGAAGCCAGAAGGGCGCCCAGTGCCGTGCTTCCCCGGTGAAACTGCACCAGCCGACTGCCAGAATTCCCCCACTGAGTCACATTAGGGTCCGTTTTCCGGAGCTCCGCGAACGCTTCCCCAAAGCGCGAGGGCACCGCTCTTGTCATCCAGCTGGAATGCATCACCGGCGGGCGCGAGCCAATCGGCGCGCGGGCTGCGGGGTGGGGGCCGATATAATGCCTCTGCGGCGCCGGCAGAAGCAGGCAGCGGTCTGGTTGCTGAAGCGGCAAGAGGGCGCCCGGCCTGTCGCAGCTTTGGTTGTGTGCGGCGCGGTCCAGGCATTGTCTTCCGGCTGGTAAGTGCCGTGCCTTCGCCTCCGAGCTTGGCGAAATGCTCGCCTGCCGTTCTTGAGAGCCCACCGGAGACGCTGCAAAGCGCTCGTTCGCTCCGAAAGTTCCCCCGCCCTGGCG